TTGCACCGCTGACTAGAGATATACAGGGTGTCCCCCCAAAATGTATACACACTTTGAATACCTACTAATTTCCAGTGGTTTAAAGCATAAGAAAGAAACAACGATGAAGCTGTTATCTGTTAAAAGTGTGGGCACAAACAGGCAGTCAGACATTCCCTGAGGGGTCTCAGATTGGAGAGGGTGCAGGCCAGGCTGAGGGGCCCCTTCCTCCACCCCCCCACCCCAGTGCATGGATTTCGTACACTGGGCTACTAGTATATATGTAAATGACCAAACGACCGGTCAACTGGTCACTGTGATGCACACTGAGCACCAAGGGTCAGCTGCTCAACACAGGCCAGGCTGAGAGACCCCACTGGTGCACGAATTTGTGCATCGGGCCTCTAGTTTATTAATAAGTAGAAGGGTTTGTCATCGTAGAGCGGGGGTGGGGAACGTCCAGCCTGCAGGCAATTTAAGGCCCTCGAAATTATCTGGTCTGGCCCTGCCAAATATAGCAGGCTAATTTTTTTTTAGGGGTTTGTATAAAGTGTTGAAAACTTTATGTAACAGCAGGTTAATTTTTAAGTTGATAATTTTGTATGTCCCATGAATAATGTTATAAATATCCAAATGGCCCTTGGCAGAAAAAAGGTTCCTCACCCCTGCCTTAGAGCTTCACAGAGTATTAGATCAGATTTAGAAATTGGTTCATTAAGTATTTTGCTTATTACAACATTTTACCAATAAGAATCATTTTGAAAAGAAGGTATAACATTGAACAAATGATTTTAATCTTTTTGTACTAAAACTAAACTTAGATGCCTGGAGATTGAGGATTGGCAGTAGTCTATGTGTAAACGAGTTATTTTGTGTTAATATAAAACAGTCATTTATTTTATTTACGTATCCTTAACACTTGTGACTTTAGCTAATGTGATTTTGCCTTTAAAAACCAAGTAGAATTTCTCAGAAAACATCAGTCATAAGAATAAAATGTTTGTACCATATAATCATAAAATTACCAATTGCCCCTATCTCTCTATGGCTTTTTAAAAATACTAAGTTACAGAAACTTGAGAAGCTGGGTATTTCTCCCCTCCTTACCAAGGCAGTACATCTGAATTTTGGGCTATCGATATCCAAAAATTTGATGTAGGGAGGTATTTATACCCTCCTGAGCATGAGAGTATAGTGACATTTGAGTTAGTAAGAAATTGTTAAGCCCTGGCTCCTGTGGCTCAGTTGATTGGACATTGTCCTGTGCACTGAAAGGTTGCAGGTTCAATTTCTGGTCAGGGCACATGGCTGGGTTGTGGGCTCAATCCCCAGTAGGATGTCCCAAAAAAAACATATGCACACTTTGAATAATTATAAAGGCAGTGTTTATTAAAATACATTTCATTTTCAGAATGTAATAGAAATCAGCTGTTAAAGTGTGTATACATTTTTTGGGGACACCCTGTGTGTGTGTGTGTGTGTGTGTGTGTGTATAACTAAAGGTTGTTTTAAGTGATTATTATTTACTGGAGGCCCAGTGCATGAATTTCAGATCAGATAGGATCTAGATAGAGAGCATGGTGATGGTTGAAGGCTCACAGATCCCTCAGCCCAGCATGTGCCCACTCACAGTCCAGGAGCCCTCGGGGGATGTCTGACTGACAGCTTAGGGGAGTGGGCCTAAGCCGGCAGTTGGACATCCTTAGCACTACCCCAGAGGCAGGAGAGGCTCCAGCCACCGCTGCTGTACTTGCCAGCCGTGAGCCTGGCTCAGGCTTCTGGCTAAGTGGCACTCCCCCTGGTGGTCAGTGCTCATCATAACAACCGGTCATTCTGCATATTAGCCTTTTATTATATAAAACAAGTAAGCTTCTTTGGGAATAAAAACTATACACAATGTTTTTTATTGAATTTACTAGAGGCCCAGTGCACAAATTTGTGCATGGGTGGGGTCCAGCAAGGCCTGCCCCAATCGGGGTGGGAAGATGATCAGGGACAAGGCCTGCTGGGTGGAGGGATCATAGAAGGTTGGCTGGCCGGCCCCGCCCCCGATCGGGGTAGGGGCATCCAGTCGGGGCCAGGCTGGCTGGGGGGAGGGTCCACGGGAGGTTGGTGAGCGACTCCACCCCCATCAGGGTGGGAAGACCAATTGGGCCAGCCAGGGAGAGGGGCTGTGGGATTTTGGCCATCCAGCCCTGCCCCAGATCTGGCCTGGGAGAGGGCTCCCCCCCGCAACCCCAATCAGGCCAGTTGGCTGGCTGCAGTGTGCATCATAGCAACCAGTTCTGGTCATTCCGGTTGCTTGGCTTTTATATAAATAGATTATTTTCTCAAATGTATAATCTATTCATTGAGTAAATATTTGTTAAGTACCTATTGTATATCAGGCACTCTTTTTTTTTTTTATAAATATATTTTATTGATTTTTTACAGAGAGGAAGGGAGAGAGATAGTCAGAAACATCGATGAGAGAGAAACATCGATTAGCTGGCTCCTGCACATCTCCCACTGGGGATGTGCCCGCAACCCAGGTACATGCCCTTGACCGGAATCGAACCTGGGACCCTTCAGTCCGCAGGCCAACGCTCTATCCACTTAGCCAAACCGGTTTCGGCATATCAGGCACTCTTATGGTTGTATGTGTATATAAGAGTAAATGAAACATGGGCCTACCTTCAAGGTTCTAACAATCTTTTAGGTTCTATGAGTACATGTTAGAAACATATAAACCATAGAATTTAGAAAAGATTTCTTATCTAGCTGATTGCCTCACACAGCTGTTCCTGGAATGGGAAGTGAAAAATGACCAGAAGGTAGTAGCAGATCGAATAGGATCTAGATAGGGAGCATGGTGATGATTGAAGGCTCACAGATTGATACACAGAATTTTGTATTTCTTTGGCAGTTGGTAGCACAGCCTCCAGGGATACAAGTTTGAAGGTGTACTAGGTGGACTTCTCTGGTTGTAAAGCAACTGTTTTCAGCCGAAGTACATTTCTTTACTTGGTTAATTGTTTAGGTAACTACTTTATAGATGTGCTAAAGAATGTAAACCGTCCAAAAGGAATAGTAAGTTAAACTTAGTATACTTTAGTAAACCTGAGCTGCTTTCATTTTTTTTCTCTTGACTTTATTCCTTTCATTTTCTTCACTCTAATGTTCACTTACTTATCTACCTTTTATAAGCAACAATCCAGATGATGATGATGAAGATGCTATTGTTATAATTTAACTAGAGACCTGATGCACAAAATTTGTGCAAGAGTAGGCCTCCCTTCTCCCGGCTGCCGACCCAGGCTTCCCTTGCAGCCCCGGCTTTGTCCGGAAGGTCGTCCCAAAGGACGTCCGGAAGTACATCCAGTCTAATTAGCATGTTATGCTTTTATTATAGATTATTATAGATAAGTGATTTACTTTCCTGCCTGTCAAATGATAATCTATGCCTGCTTATTTACATGGGGCATTAATCTTGAAAATCATACGTAGCCTAACTGATTACTTTTTTTCTTCACAGAGTTGTAGCTCTGAATTCACACAAGTCTGAAAAAAAGAAGAAACGTTACAAAGATTCTCTTTCTCTAGCTGCCATGATACGAAAATTTCAGAAAGAGAAGGATGCATTAGAGAAGGAATCTAACCCTAAAGTCTCAGTGAACTTAATGAGCACCTCTTTGAATAAACCCCCCTCCGCTGCTGTAACATTGGGAAATGATGTCTCCGACTTAAACATGAACAATGCTGATCCGGACCTTCCCATTTTTGTTAGCACAAATGAACATGAACTCTTTCAAGAAGCTGAAAGTGCCCTAAAGATACTAGATGATATTGACTTTGACAGATTATTGGATGCTACTTCTGATGGTAGCCCCCTCTCTGAGTCAGGGGGAGAGAATGGAAACACCACCCAGCCATCCTACGCCTCTCAGGTTATGCCCAAGGTGGTACCTATACTCCCAGAGGGTTTACCTGCCCTTCTTGAAAAACGTATCGAAGACCTCCGTGTAGTAAGTGGAATAATTCTCTTGTTTTTTTGTGTGTGTTTTTATTTGTTGCACAAATATAACAATAAATGTATTTTTAAGACAAAAATAACAACTGACAATCCCAATACTCATATAAGCAACATATAATTTCTTCTTAGTTTTTGACTGTGTGCATAAACCTTTGATTTTATTTATATTTATTTAAGTATAGTTGGTATACAATATTATATTAGTTTCAGGTCTACAATACAGTGATTAGACATTTATATACTTTATGATGTCATCACACTAAACGAAGTCTAGTAATCATCCATCACTATGCAAAATTATAATATTGATGACTATATTCACCTTCACCTTTTTCACCTATCCCCACCCCCTCAGCTTTGGCAGTCCTCAGTTTGATCTTTATGAGTCTGTTTTTGTTTTGTTTGTTCATTTGTTTTTTTAGATTCTCCATATAAGTGAAGTCATATGATATTTGACTTTGACTTAATTTCATTTAGCATAGTAACCTCTAGGTTCATCCATTTTGTCACGAATGGCAAGATTTCATTCCTTTTTTTATTGTTGAATATTTCGTTGTATATGTATCACATCTTTTTTAGTCTTTCCATGGACACCTAGGTTGCTTCCGTATCTTGGCTATTGTAAATAATGCTGCAGTGAACATAGGATGCATTTATCTTTTTTAATTAGTGTTTTGAATTTTTTTAGATAAATACCCAGAAGTGGAATTTCTGGGTGATGTGGGTATTTCTGTTTTTAGTTTTTTGCGTAATCTCCATACTTTTACATAGGGGTTATACGAGTTTACACTCCCACTAACAATGCACCAAGGATTCCCTTATCTCAATGTCCTCACCAACACTTGTTATTTTTTTACTTTTTTTATAATAGCCATTCTGACTGGTGCGATTTGGTATCTCATTGTGGTTTTGCTTTGCATTTCCCTGATGATTAGTGATGTTGAGCATCTTTACATGTTGGTTGGCCATTTGTATGTCTTCCTTGGAGAAATGTTCTATTCATGTTCTTTCCCATTTTTTGATCGGAGTGTTTATTTTTTATCTTGAGTTGTATGAGTTCTTTATATTTTGGATGTCAACCCCTTATTGGATATATCATTTGCACAAATATATTCTGTCAATAGGTTGTCTTTTTGTTTTATTGATGGTATCCTAAAAAGCAGGAGCTTTTTAGTTTGATGCAGTCCCATATGCTTATTTTTGTTGTTGTTTCCCTTCCTTGAGAGGACATAGCCAAAATGATATTACTATGACTTATGTAGAAATTTACTGCCTATCTTTTCTTCTGGAAGTTTTATGATTTCAGGTCTTATATTTAAATCTTTAGTACAGTCCCTGGCCTGGTAGTTCATTTGGTTACAGCATTGTCCCAATATATCAAGGCTACTCGAGTTTGATCTCTGGTCAAGGCACATAAAAGAATCAATCAGTGAATGCATAAATAAGTGGAACAACAAGTTGATGTTTCTGTCTTACTTCCTCTCTCTCTAAAAGAAAAAAAAGTCAATAAACATAAATAAATGATGCCCTAGCCAGTTTGGCTCAGTGGATAGAGTAGCGGCCTGCAGACTGAAGGGTCCCAGGTTCAATTCTGGTCAAGGGCACATGCCTGGGTTGCGGGCTTGGCCCCAGTAGGGGGCGTGCAGGAGGCAGCCAATCAATGATTCTCTCATCATTGATGTTTTCATCTCTCTCCCTCTCCCTTCCTCTCTGAAATCAATAAAAATGTTGAGTTCAGCCCTAACCAGTTTGGCTCAGTGGATAGAGCGTCAGCTTGCGGACTGCAGGGTCCCAGGTTCGATTCCGTTCAAAGAGATGTACCTTGGTTGCTGGCACATCCTTAGTAAGGGGTATGCAGACGGCAGCTGATTGATGTTTCTCTCTATCCCTCTCCCTTCCTCTCTGTAAAATATAAATAAAATATATTTTAAAAAAATGTTTAGTTCAATTTGAGTTTATTTTTGTATATGGTATGAAGGAGTGGTACAGTTTAATTTCTTTTGCACACATCTGTCCAGTTTTCTTAGCACCACTTATTTTTGCTTCTCTATTGTATCATTGATCTTTGTGTCTGTTTTTGTGGTAGTACCATACTGTATGGTTATTGTAGCTTTATAAGTTGTTTGAAACCTGGGAATGTGTTATCTCCAGCTTTCTTTTTTTTAAAAAATAAATTCAGCTTTATTAGTGATAATGTTTATATTTATAATTTGTTAAAATATATTTTTTATTGATTTCAGAGAGGAAGGGAGAGGGAGAGAAAGATAGAAACATTAATGATAAGAAAGAACCATTGATCAGCTTCCTCCTGCATGCCCCCTAGTAGGTATCGAGCCTGCAACCTGGGCATGTGCCTTGACCAGAAATCAAACCATGACCTCCTGATTCATGGGTTGACACTCAACCGCTCAACCAGTGAGCCACAGCGGGTGGACTAGTATGGACATTTTAATTGTATTAGGTCTTGCAATTCATTAGCATGGTATATCCTTTCATTTGTGTCCTCTTTAATTTCTTAAGTTTGTAAAAGTTTTCAGAATACAGGTCTTTTACATCCTTGGTTAACTTTATTCTTGAGTATTTTATTATTTTTGATGCAGTTGTTAATAGGATTGTTTTCTTAATTTCTCTTGATCATTCGTTATTAGTGTATAGAAATGCGACAGATTTTTGTTATTATGTCATCTGCATATAGTAACAGTTTTACTTCCTCCTTTACAATTTGGATGCCTTATATTTCTTTTTCTTATCTGACTGCTGTAGCTAGGACTTCCAATACTATATTGAATAATAGTGGTGAGTGGGCATTCTTGTCTTGCTCCTGATTTTAGAGGAAAAGCTTCCACCTTTTCACCACTGAGTAAGTTGTAGCTATGAATTTGACGTATGTAGCTTTTAATATTTTATGCTAAGTTCGCTCTATACTTACTTTACTGAAATTTTTTTCATAAATAGATGTTAAATTTTGTCAGATGCTTTTTCTGCATCTATTGAGATGATCATGTCATTTTTATGCTTGGTTTTGTTTCATGTGTCATGTTAATTAATTTGTGGATATTGAACCATCCTTGCATTCCTAGTATATATCCCACTTGATCATTGTATGTAATAGTTTTACTGTATTGTTGAATTTCATTTGCTAGTATTTTGTTGCTAATTTTTACATCTATGTTCATCAGTGTTATTGGCCTGCAATTTTTTGTTTTTATAGTGCCTGTCTGATTTTGGTATTAAGATAATGCTGGCCATGTAGAATGAGTTCCTTTCTCTTCAATTTTTTCAAGGATAGGTATTAATTCTTCTTTAAATGTTTGGTAAAATCCACCTGTGCAGCTGTCTGTTCTGAACTTTTGTTTTTTGGGGGTGTTTTTTAATTACTATTTCAGTATCATTGCTAGTAATTAGTCTATTCAGAGTCTGATTCTTCTTGGTTCAGTCTTAAAAAGATGTATGTTTTTAGGAATTTATCCATTTCTTCTAGATTGTCCAATTTGTTGGTATATAATTGTTCATACTATTCTTTAATTATCCTTTGTATTTTTGTGGTGTTGATTGTAAACTCTTCTCTTGCATTTCTGATTTTATTTATTTGGGCTCTCTTTTTTCCTTGATGAATCAATCTGGCTAAAGGTTTGTCGATTTTGTTTATCCTTTCAAAGAACAAGCACTTAGTTTCATTGATCTTTTCTATTATGTATTTTTAGTCTCTAACTCTTACATTTCTGCTGTGATCATTTCCTTTCTTCTATATATTTTGGGTTTTGTTCTTTTTGTATAGCTATTAACTTTCCATCTTAGAACTGCTTTTGCTGCATCCCATAAATTTTAGGGAGTTTTGTTTTCATTTTCATTTATCTCAAAATATCTTTGAATTTCCTCTTTAATCCATTGGTTGTTACTAGCATGTTGTTTAGTCTACATGTGTTTGTGTTTTTTCCAGTGTTCTTTTTGTAGTTGATTTCTAGTTTCATATCATTGTGGTCGGAAAAAAATTCTCTATTTTCAATATTATTGAATTAATTGACACTTGTTTTGTGGCCTGATATGTGGTCAGTCTTGGAGAATATTCCATGTGCACTTGAAAAAAATATGTACTCTGTAGTTTTTGCACGAAATGTTCTAGGATTGTCTATTAAGTTGATCTGATATGACATTTAATGTCATTATTTTATATTAATCTTCTATCTCTGATTTGCCTAATGAGTATAAAGTCCACTAATATTGTATTGCTGTTAATTTCTCTTTCTATGCCCATTAATATTTGCTTTATATATTTATTTTTTTAAATATACTGATTTCAGAGAGGAAAGGAGAGGGAGAGAGAGATAGAGGTATCAATGATGAGAGAGAATCATTGATTGGCTGCTTCCTGCACATCCCCTACTGGGAATAAGCCCACAACCCAAGCACATGCCCTTGACTGGAATCGAACCTGGGACCTTTCAGTCTGCTGGCCAATGCTCTATCCACTGAGCCAAACAGGCTAGGGCTGCTTTATGTATTTAGATGTTCCTGTGTTAGGTGAATAGATATATTTACAATTGCGGTATCTTATTGCACTGACCCATTTATCATTATGTCTCCTTTTACAGTCCTTATTTTAAAGTCTGTTTTGTCACATACAAGTATTGCTACCCCTTCTACTTGCATGTAACATCTTTTTATATCCTTCAGTTTCAATCTGTGTGTCTTTTTATCTAAAGTGAGTATCTCATAAGCAGAACATAGGTGGGTCTTGTTTTTTATTCATTCAGCCACCCTAAGTCTTTTGATTGGAACATTTAGGCCATTTACATTTAAATAATTCTTGATAGGCATGTACTTATTGTCATTGTTATTTGTTTGTTGTTGTTGTTGTCATTCTCTGTTACTTGTCTTGATCTCTTTCCTTTTGGTATGCTGGTTTTCTTTAGTGTTTTGTTTGGGTCTTTTGCTCTTTGTTGTTCTGTATTTTTTGTTGTTGTTTTTGTTTGTGGTTACCATGAGGTTCATATATACCAATCTGTATCTATAGCAATCTATTTTTTTAACTCTTTATTGTTTAAAGTATTGCATAAATCTCCTTTTTCCCCTATTGACATCTCCCCAGCTGCTCCCACACTCTATAACAGTCTATTTCAACCTGATAGATGTTTAAGTTCAAGTACATTCTAAAAGCACTACATTTTCACTCCATTTTGACAATCTTTGAATTTTACTGATGAGTTTTGTCCACTTATATTTATTTTCTTTTTTTAATTTATATTTTTATTGGTTTGAGAGAGAAAAACATCAGTTTGTTGTTTCACTTATTTATGCATTCATTGGTTAATTTTTTATTTTTTTTATTGATTTCAGAAAGGAAGGGAATGGGAGAGAGAGAGAGAAACATCAATGATGAGAGAGAAATCATTGATCGGCTGCCTCCTGCATGCCTCACACTGGGGATTGAGCCCACAACCTGAGCATGTGCCCTGACTGGGAATTGAACTGTGACCTCCTGGTTCATAGGTCGACGCTCAACCACTGAGCCACGCCAGTCGGGCGCATTGGTTAATTCTTGTATGTGCCTGACTGGGGATCAAACATGCAACTTTGGCATAGCAGGATGATGCTCTACCCAACTGAGCTACTCAGCCAGGGCAAATAGGAACTACATTTTTTTTCTAATTTTATTTTTTTTTATATATTTTATTGATTTTTTTACAGAGAGGAAGGGAGAGAGATAGAGAGTTAGAAACATCGATGAGAGAGAAACATCGATCAGCTGCCTCCTGCACATCTCCCACTGGGGATGTGCCCAAAACCCAGGTACATGCCCTTGACCGGAATCGAACCTGTGACCCCTCAGTCCGCAGGCTGATGCTCTATCCACCAAGCCAAACCGGTTTCGGCAGGAACTACATTCTTAATCCAATAAAAAAAAAAAAGTTCTAAGAACAAAACAGCACTAAAGATGTCTATATAAATACAGACAAGTTTTTCTGTTTACTGAATTTGTCCCCTCATTTGGCATATTGGTTAACATTGGGGAAATTAAGCATATAACTAAAGACACAGTATAATCTACAGTTTTGTTCATCTAAAAGTTTATTTAACTTCTCAGTTACTCCAAGTATGAAGTATAGGTATTGTTTTCTTTTTCTTTTCTTTTTTTTGTTGTTGTTGTTAATCTTCACCCAAGAATATTTTCATTGATTTTTAGGGAGAGTGCAAAAGAGAGGGAAAGACAGAGAGAAACATCGATGTGAGAGAAACACATCGATTGGTTGCCTCCTGCATGAGCCCCAACCAGGGTCCAACCAGGGCCCAGGCTTGGAAGGAGCCTGCAACCAAGGTACATGCCCTTGACCAAAATCGAACGTGGGGACCTGTGGTCCACAGGCCAATGCTCTCGCCACTGAGCCAAACTGGCTAGGGCGTACTGTTTTCTTTTTGTGGTTGAGAAACTTAAGTGATAGGTTAAATAGCTTGGCCAAGTCCAACTAGTAAGTGGTGGAGCCAGAACTTAAAAACAGGTTGTCTAGATTCCAAAGTATATCCTTTTTGCTATTCCCATGTTGCCCCACCACTAGACATTTTATAGGTTTTAAAAAGTGCTGATGATGTGATCCAGGTTTTCCAACATGTAATTGATAATAATTGCTATTGTTTATTTAGCAAATGCCTGTACTGTGTATTTATTGAGTGTACAGTGTCCCACAGTCGCAAGGCACCATTTACCATTGAGGAGACTGTGCCCTGACTGGGTTTAGTGTACTTTACATACTGTATAGTCAGTCTAACCCTCGAACAATCATATGGGATAGGTAGTATTCCGAGGTTCAAAAGGTTACGTCATTTGGCCATGGCCATGTGATTTTTAAGTAGCTGAGACATATTTCAAAGTGAAGATTTAAAGGCAGGACCATCAAGCTCCATAGTTTGCACTTTCTCTGCTGTGTTATATGCAATTAATTCTCATTTAATAAACAAAACTGCTTAGTAATGAATGTGTTTCAATCTTGTAAAACTGTCACATTTCAGATATCAAAAACTGTAATTTTTCTCTGTAATAGTCATGCCAGGAATAAGAAGATTCGTTTTATTTACTGATGTCTATGAATTCACCATACAAGATGGTGTTTTTTCTTCAGGAGATGAGAATTCATCCTTGTGTTTGTCTGATGAGGAGTTTGTTCTTGTTGCTCTTTTCTCGCTTTGAAACATTCTTCCAGTGTTCAGCCTCTTGACATTTTTGTTTCTCTTTCTTGAAGTTTAGTTTTCATTCTGGCTTTCTTCCTATATTTCTACTCCCTACACACAGCAGTCTGCATCCTTTCTAAGAAGTGCTGAGATACATCTCAGAAATTTTATTCTTCTATTTACAGCATGTAAAATTGTCAGATGCTTGGTAGATTGACAGAATCAGCATGTGACTATATCGGATTATTAGATCAGGCTTGATTTTTTACATCTCATGTAATTTCCCCAGTAAAATTTGCTTATGGTAGATTGTCTTGGTTTGTACACTCTTTGTTTCTTGTCAGGCTGGTTAAGGTGACAAACATAATGATGAAAATATTATCCTTAAGCTCATTGAATTAATTTTTGCTTATACCTAGGCTAATGTTTTCTTTGTTAGTATGTAATTAGGTAGAACTAAGGGTGGCAGTGTTACAGAGGAGAAGTTATGACGCTTCTGGTCTGAGTCCTAGGTCCACCACTTAGTAGCTGTGTGATTTGGGGGCATATCCTATAACCTATTTAAGATTTTGGTCCCTTATTTATAAAATGAGGGTTTAATACCAGTTTCACCAGTTGTTATGAGTATTTAACAAGGTAATGGGTATAAAGTGTAGAATATGATACACATTGTAAACAATAATGTCTGTAGAAAGTGAGACATCTGCTTTCTGTTATCTTGGAGACCACAGCAAAAATTAACAAGCCCTGACCGGTTTGGCGCAGTGGATAGAGCGTCGGCCTGCGGTCTGAAGGGTCCCGGGTTCAAGTCTATGTACCTTGGTTGTGGGCACATCCCCAGTAGGGGGTGTGCAGGAGGCAGCTAATAGATGTTTATCTCTCATTGATATTTCTAACTCTATCCCTCTCCCTTCTTCTCTGTAAAAAATCAATAAAATATATTTAAAAAATTTTTTTAAATTAATAAAATACACAAGACAACCAAAACACTAAAAAAATCTTATATGGAAATTTTGTGAGTTTAGGTAGATTGAAAAAAATGAAATACAGACATAGTCGGAAAGAATGGTATGTATACTAAAATAGTTTCAGCACTCTTTAATTGCCTCCTTATGCCAGGTATGAAATTGGGTATTAAGAATACAAAGTGAAAAAAATTATAACCCCATCCTCAAAGAGCTGATTCTTTAGTAAATAAATATGGAAGCAAATAATGTGTTTATTAGGGGTTATATTGTCAATCTTATGTTTCTCTAGGCTGCCAAACTTTTTGATGAAGAAGGAAGGAAAAAATTCTTTACACAGGATATGAATAATATTCTTCTGGAGTAAGTATTCTTTGATTAAAATTCTTAAAAATTATTTAAACTTTAAGGATTTATTTAAAAATATAGTAGGCCTCGCCCTGGCCCGTGTGGCTCAGTTAGTCATTGTCCAGTGAACCGAAAGGTCACTGGTTTGATTCCCGTTAGGGCAGATACCCAGGTTGCGGGCTCAATCCCCAGTCAGGTGCATGGGGTGGGGTGGGGGGGCAATGGGCACAGCTGATCGATGTTCCTTTCTCTTCCTCTCCCCTCTTCCTTCTTCTCTCTCTAAAATTAATACAAACATATTTTAAAAGATAAAAGGTATATAGTAGGCTTTTGAAATGCAAATACTGAGTGCCTGGCTAGTCTCATACATTAGCTCTTCCCTTTCAGCCTCCTAGTATGTATGATGAACATTTGCTTCTCAGCAAAATTACGCTTCTGCATGTATTGGTTCTTTTGGACCCCTACGATAATCAAAGCTTCCGATATTATAACTTCCAATATTATAAGTGACCACTGAAGAGGTTGAATAGTACTCTAGGTTTATATGTATATTTTACCAACTTATATAAAACATTCTGTGATAGCTCTGTTTATATTAAATTTGGTATAATTTTCTGTCTACTTTTCAGACTTTGGAAAAATACATTATGAACTCTTAAAGCCAAGTGGAAAGTATGGTTTAATTAAGAAATCATGATTGTGGGATAAGATTGAGTCCAATGTGGAAAAGACAGAAGTTAGATTTATTAGGAGGAGAGGGTGAAGGCTGATATATGATATAGGTTATATTTAAAGTAGTGATCATTTTCACTCTCACAGTTTGATTCTAATAAAGCTGCAGATTCTAATATTGTGATCTCATAAGATATAAACCTATTGGCTTATAAATTTTGACCATTGGAAATTTGATATGTAATTGACTGCAAGCAGAATGCCAAAAACAAACAAACAAAAAAATGATTCTGAGGAAAGCAGCAAAATTTACTTCTCTGATGAAAATAATGTGTTGGTAGTTCAGTAGCATCATTTAGAAAGAAACAAAAAAGCAATGTTTTTAATACTATTATTTCTCTTTCAAATATATAATGAAGATAATTTCTCAAGATATAAAGGATGGATTGGTTTGTTGGTTCTGATAACTATTTTAATGAATTGCATTCTCTTATGCTGTAGTACTAAAACTGTTTTAAGTACCATGGATTTCATGAAACATACAACCTAGTATGCTACTTCTAATATGGTGAAATTTTGTTCCTGTTCTTCTTTATTTAATCCAGGGCTTTTCAAGTTGTTTCTGTTTGCCTGAAAGCAAGGCAAATGCTTCCTGTTGGCACCAGCTCCTTTTACCTAGCTCCTGTAAAACCCGAGATTCAATAAACAATATAACATTTCTCACCAGAGCTGTCCCAGATTCCATAATCAGGGATCTGCCTAGCTCTGCTTTTTCTTTCCATTTGAAAGCCCTATGTTTACTAGATCAGGTCCTTTTCCTGAGACGGAGACAATTCTTTTTTATTTTACTTTTCTGTAAGAGGGAACAGCTACTAGTATAGCTCCCCTGAGAGAATCAAACGACCATCCTCAGGAAATAACATCTCAAATAAGCACAATAGCAGCATTCCATTAACTGGCTTCTCTGTCAGTTCCTCTCATGTCTATTCTAAAACAAATCCTCTAGTTTTTTGGAGCCAATCTACTTAAATTTTTTAAAAATTTATTAATTTTGAGAGAGAGAGTGAGAGGTTGATTTGTTGTTCCACCCACTCATGCACTCATTGGTTGATTCTTGTATGTGCCCTAACCAGGGATGGAACCTGCAACTTTGGTGTATTGGAATGATGCTCCAACCAACTGAGCTAGTGGGCCAGGGCCCATCTATTTTTTATTTCATAGAAAGTGTACCTCCAATTCTACAAGCCGTAGTGTTTAGTTGAATTTTTTTCTCTTTTAGTCACTTTATTATACCACCCTGGCCTCTTTGTCCACTTTCCTGACCCAACATCCCTTATTTCTCTAGACTGAGTTGATCTTCTAAGGACATACGGTAGATGATTATTTGGTTTAGTTATTCCCATGAAGTTATTCAGGTGTATTGGCTCTGCCTCACCATTGCTTCCTCTTCACCATGGCTGGAGAGAAAAACAGATGAGTTTGTTGGAATAGAGTACCCTTTTACTTTTAGCCTAATGAATTTGACCCGGATCAAAAAATTAACAACATGCTGGCTTGATTTCATCACCTATTTCCTCCTTTACTTCAAGCTGACATTGCTAATAAAATCTTGATGCTTTGCCTGTTATTCTAATTCAGCCAGACAATTCTGCTCAACAAATGCTTTAGGCAGGTACTACCAATCCTATTGGATATTTGGCAGTGAGATCTGTCTTCCTTCATTGTTAGATGCTCCTTTAAGGAGCTGGTGAGTGCGATGTGAATCCTATATAATAAAAGGCTAATATGCAAATTGTTCCCTTGACTAGGAGTTCAACCAAGAGGCAGGGCCAGCCAGCCAACTGCCTGAGGCCCCTCCCCCCGGCTAGCTGGCCTGATCGACCCAATCAGGGCAGGCTGGCCGGACCCCACCCATGCACGAATTTGTGCACCAGGCCTCTAGTCTCAATATAAATGGGCTTACCAATTGGTCTGCCTGTCTGTCTGTTTCTCTTTCCTTGAATTGAAGGTTAGCAAAGTGAAAGGGTTGATCACAAGCCACAGCTTTTCCTTACTCTTTTGAGGGGCTGCTTTGCAATTGGAGGAATCCCAAACAGTTTTTCAAACATATTTCTAACCTGTTCCATACCAAGTCTTATTTAGGTAACCCTAGAACCAGCCCACCTGAATTAAGTAGTTCTTCAGGGACAAGAGGGATGAACACACCTTTTGTCTAGTATTAGTTAACACATCAACAGGCTTTTGAAATTTTGCTTTAAGGTAAAGAGATATTTGGGATTTTGAATTTGGGTTATTGTTCCCTAAGCTTTCTTCAGTTAGTTTTCAGTGGTTGTATTATTTGGACAATATTGGTAGGATATCTGGAATACTTGAGGAAACTCCAGGAAATTCAGTAGATTCCAGAATTCATTTGGACTGAGTTTTTCTTATTATTAGTGTTTTAAATTTATTAAGAATGATTTTTTTTTTTTTGCCGTAACCGGTTTGGCTCAGTGGATAGAGCATCGGCCTGCAGACTCAAGGGTCCCAGGTTCGATTCCGGTCAAGGGCATGTACCTTGGTTGCGGGCACATCCTCACTAGGGATGCAGTTGTGCAGGAGGCAACTGATCTATGTTTCTCTCTCGATGTTTCTAACTCTCTATCCCCCTCCCCTCCTCTCTGTAAAAAATCAATAAAATATATCTTTTAAAAAAAAGAATGATTTTTTTAGAAAGAGGAAGTTTATGTGGTAGAAAGATGTGCCATATATCACCTTTGGGAAAATGACTGTATTTCTAGAATTCTGTGTAGAAAGGATGATACCGTAGTTATCACTAAATATTCCTCAGTAGGAGAATCTTGTTTACAAAGATGGCTATTGCTTCCACTACAGATTTCCATGTTTCATTTCTTTGAAACTTCTCCAGAGACAAGGGAGAGTTTTGTGTAGACAGGGATATAAAAGTGAGTTTCCAGCCTGTTTACTCAACAGAACCCAATATTTGTTCTCTAGTGCCTTTAACCCTTTGCGGGTCATATTAAATTTGGACATGGGTGTCGTACAGGTCAGAATTAATTTCCATTGAAAGAGCAGTGATACATAGCATGCAAGATTATGAAGGATAAACAAGATTTATTAGTTGTTTTTTTTTGGAACTACGTCACTACTAGTAGAATCACTACAAACTTTATCACTTTCTACATCAGAGTCAGTATTCAGGGTGCCAAAATAAAACTCTTCATCGTTACTTTCAGATTCGCAGTACACTTCTTTCGGTAACTTTCTTTTTGCCATTTTGGAGTATTATTTTGAAATATCTTAACAAGCGAGAATGCCTAATTACAGTTAAACGTAATTTGTAAAGCTTTATTTGAAATTCTGTGAAGTATCTCTGAAGCTTGTCGATTTCTTCACTCTCAAAAGGCAACTGACTCGCCACGGTGTTTTGCATGGCAAGTGTGGAACGACCACGTTTGTTTATATTGGGTTTCAATATCTCCAATTTGTCGGGGTAATGTTTTGGTTCGTGACAAGGTCGCTTAGACACTTAAGAGCTTTCAGAGAAATTATGAATTGATACATGAATAAATAGAGTTAAGATTCGTATGGTTCCTTGCTGTGGTGGCTGAGAGCAGACATACGGCCGGAACAGTAAAAAAGCTTTGGTGGCTGAGAGTAGACAAATGACCAGAAAGGGTTAATAGCAAATGGTCCCAGTATATTTTCATTCATTTAGAACCTGTAGTGATCTCATACTCATAATTTGTTATCAGGTTCAAGGACCATTCATAGTAACTTTCATGCATAGAAATTTGCCTTTGGATAGATTTCACTTAAAAAAGGAAAAGGAGCTGGTAGAAAGTAGGAGGCAGGGCTCAAGAAAGTTCACCACTTCAAGAGAACTTTGTTTCTCTGTGAAGTAAATGTAAAAATAACTGAAAATCACACTTTGGGTGCCAAGTGTTTTTAGTTGGCTACTTCTGGAGCCTTAGAAGATTGGAATTCTTAGGAAAAAAATATTAAAGTAGATCTGTGAGAGATGTGTACTTAAATACACTGCTTAAGAATGGGGGTACAGCCCTAACCGGTTTGGCTCAGTGGATGGAGTGTTGGCCTGCAGACTGAAGGGTCCCAGGTTTGATTCCATTTGGGGACATGTGCCTTGGTGCGGGCACATCCCCAGTAGGGGCTGTGTGGGAGGCAGCTGATCTATGTTTCTAACTCTCTATCCCTCTCCCTTCCTCGCTGTAAAAAAAATCAGTAAAATACATACTTATTTTTAAAAAAAAAAGGCCCTAACTGGTTTGGCTCAGCTGATAGAGCGTTGGCCTGCAGACTCAAGAGTCCCAGGTTCGATTCCGGTCAAGGGCATGTACCTTGGTTGTGGGTATATACCCAGTAGGGGGTGTGCAGAAGGCAGCTGATCAATGTTTCTCTCTCATCGATGTTTCTCTCTATCCCTCTCCCTTTCTCTCTGTAAAAAATCAATAAAATATACTTTTTAAAAAAAAGAATGGGGGTACATTCTGAGAAATGCATTGTTAAGCGATTTCATTGTTCAAACAGGCTGTTAAATACCTAGCTTGTAATACAGGCCCAATAAAGTAATCAAAGATGGATGAAACAGCCTGTATATGCAGCCAGAAAAGTTTTACCCCTTTTGAATCTGAAATTTTCAAACAACTAAGGAAAAAGTACTCCAAGAACTCATATGTGACTCACTAGTATGGTAATTGTAAGGATTGAAGGGCGTATAATATCTCTTTGAGAAAAGGAACTTTTGGTTAATAATGGAGTTCCTGTGCTTTACTCAAAAAATGTAGACTTGGTTGAAGCCATGAAAAATATTATTTGCCAGCTTGTTTGAGATTATATAAGTTCTCTGAAACTAAGCTCATCAAAATTTTCTGTAGCATCACTATTAATTACTTTTCCTTGAAAAAAACAGTCTAGGAAATGTAAAATGAGAAAAGAATTACTTCCTTTGCCTCCTTGCTTGGCTGTTGCTACCTGAAAGAAATTCTTACTGTTTATTTGTTGTTTTTGGTCAGCATTGAGTTACAGCTGCAGGAACTAGGCCCCGTCATTCGTAGTGGTGTCTACGCCCATCTTGAAGCGTTTGTGCCATGCAATAAAGAAACACTGGTAAAGCGTCTAAAGAAGCTACATCTTAACGTCCAGGTAAGAGGAGAAACAATGATATCTACATTGGGAGGTTTATAACCTGTAAAGAGACTGGTTTCTTTGGGGGGATTTTGCATATTAATTGCTTTATAGTCACGTTGTATGAATATTAATGGCACATTGGATCCCCTGAAAAAAATTACTTTTCAATAATTGATAGGTTTAGGTGAGAAATAATATTTTCTAAGGCATAGATTCTTGGACTAGTAAATTAACCTATTGCACAGCTAACACAACTTTACCTTCAGCAAATAAACTGACATATTTATAATTCAATTTTCTTCAGAAATGGATCTCTACAGATACTATGCAGACCAATGGAAAAAATCACAGGGTTGCATATAAAATTAAAAATTATCTAGTGTAATTATTCATATTTTGCTAGATTCTCCTCGACTGCAACCCCATTAAGTGATTGTCCAAGATGAATGCTGTCATGGTCAGAAACTTATTTCATTACTAGAGGCCCGGTGCACGGGATTCGTGCACTGGTGGGGGGCGTGGCCTGCGGGGATCGGCTGCTGTGGGAGCAGCGCTCATCCCGGTTAGCTGAGCAGTGCTCCCACCGTGGGAGCACACTGACCACCAGTGGGAAGCTCCTGCGTTGAGCGTCTGCCCCCTGGTGGTCAGTGTGCATCATAGCGACTGGTCGAGCGGTCATTCTGATCATTATGCCGTTCGGTCACTGGGCTTATATTATCCCAATATATAAAAAGCCAGGGGCTGTCACAACTGAAACAATCAGATGGACTACTGAATAACAGGCTGCGTGGGGCGACCAGGCCAGCAGGGGGGGCAGTTGGGGGTGACCAGGCCACCGGAGGGAAGGGGCGTAGTTAGGGGCAACCAGGCCGGTGAGAGGGGCAGTTGGGGGTGACCAGGCTGGCAGGGGGGGCAATTAAGGGCGACCAGGCAGTCAGGCAGGTGAGCAGTTAGGAGCCAGTGGTCCCAGATTGTGAGAAGGATGTCAGACTGCAGTTTAAGCCCTATCCCAGGGATCAGTCGGACATCCCCCGAGGGGTCCCAGATTGGAGAAGGTGCAGGCTGGGCTGAGAGGACCCACCCCTCTGTGTATGAATTTTGTGCACCAGGCCTCTAGTCTATAATAATGAAAGAGTAATATGCTAATTAGACCAGATGTCATTCCAGATGTCCTTCCTGACAGAGCCGGGGACAGAGGGAAGCCAGTCCAGGTCCCAGGTGCTGGAGGGAAGCCAGTGTCAGCAGCTGGGGGAAGGAAGGCCTACTCTTGCATGAATTTTCGTGCTTTGGGCCTTTAGTATAGGATAATATCAGAAAGTTCTTCCATGCTTTGTGCCAAACTCAGGTGCTTTCTAAGCTGTTGGTCCTAATTCTACCTTTGAATTCATGCACAAATCTATTCATTTGTCCACTTCATCGCTTTCATGTTTTTGAAAGCATTTATTATGTCTCCTTCTTCACTTCATATAAAATGGTTTTTCATGCCTTTATTGTTCTGATTACTTTTCACTTAATGATTTTTTGCCTCTATAATTAAAAAATATTTATAACTTACAAGTAACAGAAAGTAACTTGAATGTAGTTTAAGACAAACAAGGACATTTTTTCTATGAATAAAGGTTTTTCATGGAACTAAGGGCAAGGATGCAGCCAGGCCCTAACCGGTTTGGCTCAGTGGATAGAGCATCGGCCTACGGACTGAAAGGTCCCAGGTTCGATTCCTGTCAAAGGCATGTACTTTGGTTGTGGGCACATCCCCAGTAGGAGATGTGCAGGAGGCAGCTGATGGATGCTTATCTCTCATCGATGTTTCCAATTCTCTATCCCTCTCCCTTTCTCTCTGTAAAAATGTCAATAAAATATATTATAAAAAAAAAAAGAGAGAGAGAATGCAGCCAGGAAGGATGGGAACTGATCATTTGGATTAACTCTTTTTCTACCTCTCTCCCTACATCTCATTTTTATCCCGTTATGTACATCTGCAGATAAGATTACTTGATTTTCAAGGTTTTACATTACACAGAAAAGCCACACACAGAGACTGACTCAGTTCACTCATCCCAATCCAAATTCCTAAGTCAGACAATCTGATTTTAATATTTTGGGTCAACCTAAACTTTTCTGATTGGGGGTGGGAGTCACACAGCACAATATGGCTATCCAAGGTCTATCATGGTGCTAATGGGAGAATACATATGTCTGGCTCACTGTATTAGGTGTGATCTGACAGACATAGAATTGTTTTTTGTGTTGTTTTTTTTTTAGTATATACTTTTATTGATTTTAGAGAGGAAGGGAGAGGGAGAAAGGTAGAAACATCAGTGATGAGAGAAAATCATCGATTGGCTGCTGCTTGCACACCCGCCTCTACTGGGATCAAGCCCACAACCCGGGCATATGCCCTGACTGGGAATTGAACCAGTGACCTCTTGATTCCTGGGTCAGTGCTCAACCGCTGAGCCACACCCAGCCAGGCAGACATGGAATTCTTTACTGTAGGTACTCAGCTTCTGTTAATAAAATACTTCTTTGAATTGAGAAGCTATAGTTCTTTCTCAATTCAAAGCAGTTAATGAACAAGTGAAATTTATCTAAGGTCTCAGAATTTGTGTCTATGCCTAGCTCCTTATTAATAAAAATAATAATTAGAAGTAGGAAGACAATTTTTTGCATATTGTAAAATATTTTGTAAGGGACATTTCAGGTTTTGTATTTGAAGTTATTTAATGCTAGAGGCCCAGTGCACGAAATTCGTGCACAGGGCAGGAGGGGCTCTCAGCCCGCCCTGCATCCTTTCCAATCTGGGATCCCTTTCGCAATCCGGGACAACTGGCTCCTAACCGCTCACCTGCCTGCCTGCCTGATCTCCCCTAACCGCCTCTGCCTACCAGCCTGATTGCCCCAAACTGCCCTCCCCTGCCGGCCTGATCGCCCCCAACTGCCCTCCCCTGCCAGCCTCATCACTCCCAACTGCTCTCCCCTACTGGCCTCACCACCCCCAACTGCTCTTCCCTGCCGCCCTCATCACCCCTAACCAGCTCTGCCTCGGCCCCCACCACTGTGGCTTTGTCCAGAAGGATGTCTGGAAGATGACCGGTTAGTATAGATCTACTGGCTAAGGAAGAAATGTATTTACCTTACCTTTGCTGCCCTCTCGCAGTCTGGGACCCCTCGGGAGATAATGACCTGCTGGCTTAGGCCTGCTCCCGGGTAGCAGAAGGCAGGCCCAATCCCTAGGTGCAGCCCCTGGTCAGGCTCAGAGCAGGGCCGATTGGGGAGTTGGGACGCCGCCCCCTCATGCACAGAGCAGGGCCAATCAGGGGGTTGGGGCACTGCTCCCTGTCACTCACAGAGCAGGGCCCATCAGGGGGTTGGGGCGCCGCCACTCTCACACTCAGGGCAGGGCTGATGGGGAGGTTATGGCTCTCCCCTGTCACACACAGAGCCACAGGGGGATCAGGGGGTTTGGGCGCCCCCCCCTGTCACGCTGATCCCGGTGCCGGGAGTCCTCATGGCTCCGCTGATCCCAGTGCTGGGAGGCATATTACCCTTTTACTATATAGGGTAGAGGCCTGGTGCATGGGTGGGGCTGGCTGGTTTGCCCTGAAGAGGGTCCTGGATCTGGGCGGGGGTCCCCACTGGGGTGCCTGGCCAGCCTGGATGAGGGGATGATGTCTGTTTGCAGCTGGTCCCACACCCTTCAGGGTGGGGGTACGCATTGGGGTGCCTGGCCAGTCTGGGTGAGGGGTTGAGGGCTGTTTTCAGGCTGGGGGGGACTGAAGCTCCCAACTGCTCCTTTTTTTCTTTTTCTTTTTTTTTATTCTGGGCCATCTTTAGCTTTGAAGCTTGGCTCCAGCTCTTAGGCCTCAGCGGCTGAAAGTAGGTTTCTGGCTTTTGCTTACAATGTTGCGAATCTGCTGGCTGAAGTCTGGTGGGATTTGTTACAGAGTTTCTGAAACTGTCGGCTCAGATCCCTGCAGCGGCAGGCGGGGAATGTTGGTTTCCTCCGTCACTGAAGCAAGCAAGCCTCATGTTAGTTTCAAGTTGCCTGGCTGCCGGCCGCCATCTTGGCTGACAGTTAATTTGCATATCTCGCTGATTAGCGAATGAAAAGCGTAGCGGTCGTACACCAATTACCATGTCTCTCTTTTATTAGTGTAGATTATTTTTATCACACATGTTTGTAAACCTAAGCATTAAATCGTTTGGTTTTACATGTTTTTGATCTTCATATAAATTGAGTCATACTGTCTATTTTGTTTTGCAGCTTGCCTTATTACACTCAACATTATGTAATTCAAATTTATCTGTCTTTACCTGTGGTGGAACTCCATACAGTTTTTTAAATTTTATTTTGAGGGTATGTTTATTAAAGTGAAACAAGAAAGGACTTATGATAGAGGAAGCAATAAGAGAGACTCTAGGCGGGGCTGCTTTGGTTCTCTGGAAAGTCAAAGTAAAGGGGCCTTGGAGACAGGTTCAGGGGGTTAGCCCAAGATGAGATACTGCTGACTATTGCTCCCCTGGTTGCAAGTCTTGTGGGGTCCCATAGAGTTTAGAACAGGGGTCCTCAAACTACAGCCTGCGGGCCACATGCAAATACAAATACTGTATTTGTTCCCGTTTTGTTTTTTTACTTCAAAATAAGATATGGGCAGTGTGCATAGGAATTTGTTCATAGTTTTTTTTAAACTATAGTCCGGCCCTCCAACAGTCTGAGGGACAGTGAACTGGCCCCCTGTTTAAAAAGTTTGAGGACCCCTGGTTTAGAAGATGAAGGCCTGAGAGGGAAGAAAGGGGAGAGTGTGCCTCCATACAGTTTTACTGCTGTGTGAACACTATCACCCAGGAACCATGTGATATACTGGATGTTCACATTTTGAAAAATGGGATTTTATAGCAGACACTTTGATGTTGCAGTAATATTTATTGGCATGCCTAAAAGAGGTAAATGCTTATTAGTAGTAATATTTGAGTTTGGTTTTATTAATAAGATAAATGTTTATTGATGAAATAAAATGTTTTAATTTGTAAAGTATACCTGCCATAATATGGTAACTGTATTCCTACAAATCCTATCCTTACCAGAAATCACATTTTAAAAATAGTTGTGTCAGTGAAGAAAAGAAAAGTTGTATAATATTTCTGCACCTATGACAGTAATAAAAATGTGTTTTAATAATTACATATATTGTTATTTGCAAGATGAAAATAATTTAATTGGTTAGTTAAAGCTGGCAGACACAAATTTACTTGCTTTTTGCTCTGAACCCATGTGAATAAGAGTTTTCCAGTTTCCTTTTTCATTTTGGTCTTACCTTGCATTTTTGCTTGCAACATAAGTCACAATTACTAACAATAAATGAGAGAACAGGATGTCAACCAACATCCTGTTGGTAGTCTTCCATGCTGTATCATGTGTTGCAGTGTTCGGAAGCAGTTTCTCTCCTTGTGGTTCTTGTTCCCCATCATAATGAGATTATCCAGTAGTGGTTTGCACAATGTAGATTTTGTTCTCTATTTGATCATTTGTATTACAGTTAAAGTATTCATGTAATTTGTCAGTCAAACATGAGGCATTTCTAGGAATGTAAAGGAGCATTATTAATAATTATGCTAAGGCAATGGGCTTGGGAAGTATGGTCATACTAATTTTATATCCGATGTGCATTATGAAAAGTCAGTATTGTAAAACCAATGTCCGTACTTAATTATATAAACATTTTATATTTATAATTAATGTCTAAAAGCATAAATGTTTATCATTTCAGGATCTGCTTACAAATTAAGTTTTGTAAATATGTTTGAAAAAACTTTTTTTTCTCTTAGGATGATCGTTTAAGAGAACCTCTGCAAAAACTGAAACTGGCTGTTAGCAATGTCATGCCTCAACAGCTATTTAAATACCAGGAGGACTGCCAGGCTCGTAGTCAAGCTAAGTGTGCCAAGTATGTATTTATTCTATTTGAACTGGGTTTTGTTTGATAAATATTTTTAGGTGTTAAGGGTTGGTGTTAAGTAGACTTTACCACCAATTAGACATATATATTTACCTCTAAAATTGTATATGTGGGTTTTTGTACTATATGTGGGTATTATGCCAATAGGTGGGTTTTTATCAAAATATTTAAAACTTACGTAATAAATATATTCTAAATGACACTTCACTTCCCACTTAATTGCCTTGATTTCAAAGGTGAGAGGTCTGTTGATTTATTGTATGGGTGTGGTCAAAGCAAGAGCTGACACTACTGGTCAGACATTTCACATGTTGACCAACTTGACTATCCGAGATTGGACACAAATATATTCTGAGCTAAAAAATCAGTATTCATGCCTTTATATTATAGTTTGAAGACCTTATTTACCAAATGACTTTATAACCCCAATGAAATTCAAAGTATTACATAGAATGGTAGATTCCCTATTTACCTTGTCTTTTAAATTAACATCCAATGAAGCAATTCAACAAGTTTCTAGGGAGTGTATTATTATATGCAATGTTGAGTTAAAACTCTGCTTTATAAAATGTTTTTTATTTCTAGGTTGCAAACAGATGAAGAACGAGAAAAAAATGGATCCGAGGAAGATGATGATGAGAAACCAGGGAAACGTGTCATAGGACCAAGAAAGAAATTCCACTGGGATGACACCATTAGGTAAGATGTAACCAAAGCCTTGACTTGTAACTAAGTAGATAATGGAGATGTAAGGTTTTCATAAAAAGAATCTACAATAAGTTGAAGACTAGATTGGGAACAACCAAAGATAAGTATATAGAAAAAATTTATTCAAGAGAAGGTTGACATGGTCCTATTATTTTAGAATGCTATAACTTTTATTTTTATATAATGATTTTTTAAAGCTAATTATTCAATTACCAAGTAAGCCATGTACTGGTTTCAGAAGGAAAAGGACTCAATATACTTGTGTTGTCAGTCATCTTGCTTATCAGCAGTTCGGTACCCCAAGTAAGGGTTTAGTTGTAGGACTATCTCTTTCAGTCTTTGGTGCCTAGATTAAAGGTATCAAAGGAAATTGTTTCATGTGGGGATTTGGCTACAGTGCAATGAATAATATATGATAAAAATTATTTATCTTCATGTTATCTGATTTCTTCAGATAATAATTCTTTACTATTGCTGTCAGATTTATGTGCTTTTAAAAAAATCTGTTTCAAGCTTAATTTTCTAAAATTTTTCAGTCAGATTTATATATAAATATATATTTTTAATCTGTTTAGAACTTTGTTATGTAACCTTGTTGAGATCAAATTGGGATGCTATGAGTTAGAGCCAAATAAAAGCCAGTCTGCTGAGGATTATCTTAAATCCTTTATGGAGACAGAGGTGAAACCATTGTGGCCTAAGGGCTGGATGCAGGCAAGGTAAGAAATATGACATCCTAGATTTTATTTATTTACTTTCTTCTTACTGCTGTTATTAAAGATACATATGTACACACACATACATGACATTCATTTTGCTAAGAACCTAATACATTTAAAATTCTGTATAATCATCTCAGATGATCTATGCTTTGCAAACTTCAAGTACTTAAAAGACTAAAGAATGAGTCACGTGGACATAGTGATGTAGAATATACATAAGGTGATTTTTTTAACTGACCACTTTTTCTTTTTCATATCTAAATTTTGTAGCAGGGAGAAAGATGGCTTTGAACTTTGGAAGGGGAACTTCATATGGGTATTGTGAAGATAAGGGACTGAATACAAGATCTAGAATAGTATAGAAAAAGAGGCATAGCCTTAGGTTCTGTTGAAAATATTCAATATAGAGTGGTATCTCAAAACTAATTCACAGTTTAAAGAGTTAAGTATTAGACTTGGCTGTCTCAACCTGCCATCTTAAAGCATTCCATCTTAAATCAACAGAAGACATGATCTGTTAATGATTTAAAATAGAGGTAATATAAAACTCTGTAAAATCGATTATTGAATTTACTGATAACCTTTACTTGGTAAATAAGCAAATAATAGATTGTTGAAAATCAAATGATTAAAATGATAAAGTGATTATTATTTATCTACTATAAAAAATTAATTGTGTCCTTTAAATTTTTCCAGAATGCTTTTTAAGGAAAGTCGGAGTGTACATAATCATCTTACTTCTGCCCCGTGAGTAAATTCAGACTCTAGTTTTATTCAAATCATATGCTTTAGTAAACAAAAGTATCATTTATTTATTGCTATTTGAAATCTGACTTAAACATACATTTAGACAATCTCCATGTTACCACTGCCTCTTTTAAAAAGATCATTTTTTTAAAATATATTTTTATTGATTTTTTACAGAGAGGAAGGGAGAGAGATAGAGAGTTAGAAACATCGACGAGAGAGAAACATTGATCAGCTGCCTCCTGCGCACCTCCCACTGGAGATGTGCCCGCAACCCAGGTACATGCCCCCGACCGGAATCGAACCTGGGACCTTTCAGTCCGCAGGCCGACGCTCCATCCACTGAGCCAAACCGGTTTCGGCTAAAAAGATCATTTTTACTGTTGACTATATAGACCTTGAACACACTTATCTATTAACAGTTCTCAGGGTAGTTTCCAAAAATCTGAATCCATAATGTTAACATTGGCCTGAGGTATGGTAGTAAGAGCCATGTAAACAAGGCTCTGGTGGTTTCCTTAGTTCTTGGGAACCATAACATACCATAACCTGGGTATGTGCCCTTCAGTTCTTTTGTGCCCTTTTTCTCCCCCTGTTAATGACTATCTACTTAGGTAGCCCAACACCTTGTGCTTTCTAAGGCAATTCTGTGTACATACCTACACTTCCTGGCCTTGCAGTGTTTTATTCCACAAAATCAACTTACTCTTTGTGTCCTTTCTTCTGTTCAAAACCAGGTATTTCCTTAGTGATGTGATTACTAAAGAAAGCTCGCTTATCCTCCTGTAGGCAGTAATAAAAAGGCTTGGTTACATTTTTTTTTTTTAAATATATTTTATTGATTTTTTACAGAGAGGAAGGGAGAGAGCTAGAGAATTAGAAACATCGATAGAGAGAAACATCGATCAGCTGCCTCCTGCACATCTCCACTGGGGATATGCCCGCAACCCAGGTACATGCCCTGGGACCTTTCAGTCCGCAGGCCAACGCTCTATCCACTGAGCCAAACCGGTTCTGGCTTGGTTACATATTTTAATGAGTACTGGTTAACTCAACAAGAATTTTATTTTTACCTTCAACTTAGGGCTAATTCCCTGTAGTCTAAAAGTGTAGTATTAAGGGGTTAATAAAGTATAAAATTTAGCAAGTTACTGAGAATTTACTGAGCATTCTAATTCAGTATTCTGCTAAGAGGTCTTGGTAACATCCTCTGGGTAACATTACAAAATTCCCCCTCTCCTTGTATAAGTTATAATAGATGGAATTTTTTTGCAGCTGGTAGGAAGGACAGTTTCTTAGAACACCATCAGAGATGTATTGAGTTAGTTGTGGTTTTCAATTCTTACTTTTATTATCTATACTAATAAAAGGGTAGTATGCTAATTAGACCAGGAGACCTTCTGGACATACCCATGGTGGCGGGGCTGAGGCAGAGGTGATTAGGGGCAATCAGGCCAGGAGGGGAGGGCAGTTGGGAGCGATCAGGCCAGTGGGAGTGGGGAGGCAGTTGGGGGCGAGCAGACCGGCAAGAGGGGGCAGTTGGGGGCGAGAAGGCTGGCTGGGTGGGGCAGTTGGGGGCCAGCAGGCTGGCATGCAGAGTGGTTAGGGGCGATAAGGCAGGCAAGCCGGTGAGCGGTTAGGAGCCAGTGGTCCCGGATTGCAAGAGGGATATCCGACTGCAGGTTTCAGGCCTAAACCAGTAGTCGGACATCTCCTAAGGGGTCCCAGATTAGAGAGGGTGCAGGCCAGGCTGAGGGACACTCCCTGCCCCCCCCTCCGCCCTCCTGTGCATGAATTTTGTGCACTGAGCCACTAGTTTTATTATAAATGTGGAGTAGCTTGGTTCCATATATTATAGGTGTACTTTGTTGCAAGTGGTTTAGTTATCCTACAGTGGGGAGATATATATGTAACTAATTTTCTGTTTTGTTTTGTACCAGAACGTAGGAATCTATGGATAGGTGAGACTGGAAATCTTTTGTTCAAGTGCTCTTTCTTAAAACAAACAAACAAACAAACAAACAAAAAACACTTTGAATATTACTGTTGTCTTAATAAAGTTGTAGATTGGCAGTTTTAATTAAGATATTTGTTAATCTGCCCTAGCTGGTTTGTCTCAGTGGATAGATCGTTGGCCTGCGGAATGAAAGGTCACAGGTTCGATTCTGGTAAAGGGCACATGCCTGGGTTGTAGGCTCGAACCCCAGTTGGGGGCATGCAGGAGGCAGCCAATCAATGATTCTCATCATTAATGTTTTTCTCTCTCTCCCTCTCCCTTCCTCTCTGAAATCAATAAAAATGTATTTATAAAAATATATTTGTTAATCTAAGTAATGACATTCAATTAAGTGAAATACAAATATTCAAACAATGTGAGGTATTTTAGCTTGTCAATTCTTCAATTATTCAACAAATATTTGAGTACTTTCTCCTACTATGGAACTTATGAGTGTTTTAATCTTCAAAGTTTTTCACCCTGGCTTCCAAAGTTTCCATGGTATTTTTTCTTGCCTTTTTTTCTGTTGTTTCAACATTTTTATTTGAGTTTTATGTGAAAAATAATTTTTTTTATTGCTTAAAGTATTACAAAGGGTATTACATATGTGTCCTTTTTTTTCCCCCGCCCTTGACAATCCCCTGGCCTCCCCTACCCCCCAGTGTCTTATGTTCATTGGTTATGCTTATATGCATGCATACAAGTCCTTCGGTTGATCTCTTATCCCCCTCCCTCCTGCCCCCTAACCCTCCCCGGCCTTCCCACTGCAGTTTGACAATCTGTTTGAGGCAGCTCTGCCTCTGTATCTATTATTGTTCAAAAGTTTATAATGGTCTCTATTGTCCATGAATGAGTGAGATCATGTGGTATTTTTCCTAAAAATAATTTTTATAAAACATTTTTTAAAAGGAAAGAAAACCTGTATGTCAACTGTAATTGGGGAAAAAATAGAAAAAAAAATTCAGACAAATTTTTGCAAAAAATACATACATACATATATATACACACACACACACACACATATATATATATATATCTACGCTAATAAAAGAAACATGCAAATTAACCACCACTCCATCACACTGCCACTTCACTACACCCACCAGCCAATCAGAGTGACTATGCAAATTAACCCAGCAAAGATGATGGTTAATTTGCATATGCAGGTGCGGAGTGAAGACTGAAGATGGCCGCAGCCACAGAGCTGGAGCGAGCAGGAGGCTTGGGTTGGTCCCAGCGACAGAGGAAGCCAAGCTTCCTGCGGGTCCTAGGCTCTGCTCAAGGAGGGGCTGGGGGCCTGGGATGCCAGCGACCCAGGCTTCTAGCCCCCCCTGGGCTCTGCTCAAGGAGCTGGGGGGAAAAAAAGGAGGGGCTGGGAGCAGCCGCAGGGAAGCCAAGCCTCGCTGCTGCGGCTGGACCAAAGGCTTGGGTCCCGGGTGACAGAGGAAAACCGGTGCCGGCAGCCATGGAAGGAAGGCCTATTGCATGAATCTTGGTATAACGGGTCACTAGTGTGTGTGTGTGTGTGTGTGTGTGTGTGTAATCAGAGAGAACGGGAGAGAGAGATAGAAACATTAATGATAAGAGAGAATCATCGATCAGTTGCCTCCTGCATGCTCCATACTGGGGATCAAGTCTGCAACCCAGGCATGTGCCCTGGCTGTGAATCAAAAGTTGACCTTCTGGTTCATAGGTAGACATGCAGCCACTGAGCAACACCAGCCGGGCAAAACTTTTTTCCTTTTAGAGAGATAGAGAATAAGGAGGTATGGAGTCAGAGAGAAACATTGATTTGTTGTCCCACATATTCATGCATTTATTGGTTGACTTTTGAATGTGCCCTGATCAGGGATTGAACCAGAAACCTTGTCATATTGGGTTAACATTCTAACAAATTGAGCTATTCAGCAAGGGTTTTGTTTTGTTTTTCAAATATCTCATTTACAATTTCTTAGCATGATTTAATTTGAGCTGGAAGTTTTTCAAAGCTGTTTTCCTATAAATAATTTAAATTTTTACCAGTTTTTTGAAGTGACAAGCCTTAGGCAACTTTGTTAGCCTATTTTGAGTTATTTTTTTTTATTGTGAATATTCATGTTTAATTTTTTTTAAATATATTTTATTGATTTTTCACAGAGAGGAAGGGAGAGAGATAGAGAGTTAGAAACATCGATGAGAGAGAAACATCGATCAGCTGCCTCCTGCACATCTCCCACTGGGTTGTGCCCGCAACCCAGGCACATGCCCTTGACCGGAATTGAACCCGGGACCTTTAAGTCCACAGGCCGACGCTCTATCTACTGAGCCAAACCGGTTTCGGCTCACGTTTAATTTTTTAAAAAACTTTATCTACATTTCATATTTTGGTTTTTCATCAAAATTGGGGGAAATGTTGCTGCCTATTCACATATGAATTAAGCGCTTACATATAGTTCCTTCCTTCAAAGAGTTTTCTAAATAGCAGAAGAAATTATTTTCCCATGTAATTACAAGTTTATGTTATACTTTCCTAATGAGTGACCTAACTGCTACTGAAATGCTCTCCTTTTTAATTTTTTGTGTTAGGGCAAAGAAAAAGGTGATTCCTGCACCTAAACCCAAAGTAAAGGTAAGTTCTGAATAAATCTTTTAGTAGTCATAATGATGACTATTAAAATGCATTGTTTTTAATTTAATTGATTGGTTTATTTTTTAGATAGGTTTTTATTTATTTTAGAGCGGGGGGAGACAGAAACATTGATGTGAGAGAGAAACATTGATTGACTGCCTCCAGCACGCACCCTGACTAGGGATTTATCCCATAACCTGGGTATGTCCCCTGACCAGGAATTAAACCAGTGAACTTTTGGTGCATGGGACAGTGCTCAACCAACTGAGCCACACTAGCCAGGGCTTTTTTTGTTGTAAAGGTGGGGCAGAGCCACTCTGGACAAATTTGGCCTTCCCACCAGCTATATGTAAAAAGGTTTTTTTTGTGTGTTTTTTTTTATTGATTTTAGAAAAGGAGGAAGGGAGAGAGAAAGAAACATAGATGTAAGAGAGCTACACCAGCTGTGTGCCTTCTTTTAATTTTAGAGGCTCTTTGAATACAGAGCAACACTCCTTTCTTTTAGTAACCTACTTTGTCTTCTAAATAATATTGAGACAATATTTTATTAAATCTGTTGAGTTCATGCTTTATTTTCACACCTTATTTTTAAACAACTAATACCCTTCATTGAGAGTTTTTTAAATTTTGGTGCATCTGTTTAGATAATGATTAATTTATCAGAACTCTAATAATGGAAGTGTTAGGATACTATAGGGAAGTTACCTGTTTTGTTTGTTTATGATTAAATTACTTTTTCCTTTCCCCAAAATGGAAAGACTGTATTGCTGACTTTTTTCCCATCCTGCCATCCCTCAAATACTTATTTTAGTTAGAGAGTTAATATAAAGAAATGCTTACAGTAGAACATGCAAACAATAGGGAAAAGTAAGAAGGAGAAAAGTAGAAATTTCTGCTCACTCAGAAAAAAAAACTTTTAACTTTCTGGTTCACAGCTGCCCTCCCTTTTTCTGGATCTTTGACCCTACCTCACCTCCTTCCATCTATCTGTCCAATCATTCACTTATCCAGCTTGAGTTAACATTTTGTGTCAGTGGGATAACCTGTTGTTTTTACTCAAATATACATCCTGAACAATTTTTCTGCCGATGTAAATCTCCACGGTACAGTGGATTTGTTACTGTTTTTTAAACTTTTTATTGATTGATTTTAGAGAGAGAGAATGAAGAAAAACTTTGATTTGTCATTCCAGTTATGAATTCATTGATTGCTTCTTGTATGTGCCCTGATTGGGGAATGAACCGAAAACCTCGGCATATCAGGGTGGTGATCTACCCAGCTGAGCTACCCGTCCAGGGCCTGATTTGGTTTTTTTTGTTTTTGTTTTTAAATCTTCACCCAAGGATATATTTACCAATCTGAGAGAGAGAGAGACAGAGACAGAGAGACAGAGACAGAGAGACAGAGACAGAGAGAGAGAGAAACAGAAACAGTGATTGGTTCCCTCTTGTATGCGCCTCAACTTTAACCAAACTGGCAACCTAGGTATATACCCTGACTGGGATCGAACCTGGGACCTTTCAGTATATGGGATGAAGCTCCAACCAACTGAGCCACACTGACCAGGGCATGATTTGTTAATTTTATAAAGAAAAATATTAATAAAAAGGATACTTAAAACAGCAATTTTAGCCCTAGCCGGTTTGGCTCAGTGGCTAGAGCATTGACCTGCGGACTGAAGGATCCTGGGTTCAGTTCTGGTCAAGGGCCCATGCCCAGGTTTTGGGCTCCATCCCCTGTGGCGGGGAGGTGCAAGAGGCAGCCAGTCAATGATTCTGTCTCATCATTGATGTTTCTCTCTCTCTCTTCTTCTCCCTTCCTCTCTGAAATCAATACAAATATATTTTTTTTAAAAACAAAACCAGCAGTTTTATACTGGTAACACTGCCAATATTATTCTGATATACTCCCCAACCCACAGTTTTTGTACTTTTTATTATAATGGGATTTTTACTAATCATGTAATTACATGGCATGCCAAAGTGAACACATCACATCTGCATTAGCCATTCATGCTAGCAGACAATTTTGATCTTAATGCAGTTACCATGCAGACTTCTGAGAGGCAGTGACGTTTTCGGTCAGGACTTTTAGAACAGAAACTTAGAAAAATTGCTCAGGGATTTAGAGTATAACAGCATTCTTAACAGCTTTTTTACTGTAGTACCTTAGAAAGTGATGGTAAAGACCCTTCCTATCCATTCTTTCCCACTATTGTTAAGGTAAGTGCTTTGGTCCTATAAATCAATATATAATGTAAGACCTTGGGCTTGGGTTTGGTTTTGGTTTTCTTAAATCATCACTCCAGGAGAGAGGATATTTTCCCCTTGATTTTAGAAAGAGTGGAGGAGAGAGAGAGAAAGACATTCATGTGACAGAGATGCATCGGTTGGCTGCCTCCCACACCCGCTCTATGCTTTAAAAAAAAAAATGGTGTTTACAGTCTCTAAAGAAGAATTCCAGTAGAATTTTAGTAATCATGAGAACTTCTTAGTCTTTTAAAAACCAACACTTGTAATTTTTTATTAATCATTGCATTCTTTTCTAATACAATGCTGTTTATACTAGGAGTGTAGTCCAAAAAAGGACCAGAAAACTCCTGCATCCTTGGTGGCTTCAATTGGTGGTCCTTCAAGTTCTGTCACATCTGCCATGGCCTCCACCAGCTCCAGCTCTACTCCAGCCCAGGAGACGATCTGCCTTGATGACTCACTAGATGAAGACCTTTCTTTCCACCAACCTGCACTGGATCTTGTTTCTGAAGCTTTAGCTGTTATCAACAATGGGAACAAGGGCCCTCCAGCTGGCTCAAAGATAAGCATGCCAGCTGCAAAACCTCGTCCAGGACTGAGAGAAGAAAAATTAGCAAGTATAATGAGTAAGCTGCCCCTGGCTACTCCCAAAAAACTAGATTCTGCTCAGACTGCACATTCATCTAGTCTTATTGCTGGTCACACCGGGCCAGTACCAAAGAAACCCCAGGATTTAGCTCATACTGGCATCTCTTCAGGCCTTATTGCTGGTTCTTCAATTCAGAACCCTAAAGTTTCCTTAGAACCTTTGCCAGCCAGGCTACTTCAACAAGGACTACAGAGGTCAAGCCAGATTCATGCTTCTTCCTCTTCACAGACCCATGTCTCCTCTTCCTCCCAAGCCCAAGTTGCTGCCTCCTCTCACGCTCTGGGAACATTAGAGGCCCAAGATGCTTCTTCGTTAACACAAGTAACAAAGGTGCACCAGCATTCAGCTGTCCAACAAAATTATGTGTCTCCACTGCAAGCAACCATTAGTAAATCACAGAGCAACCCAGTGGTGAAATTAAGTAATAATCCCCAGCTTTCCTGTTCATCCCCACTTGTTAAGACTTCAGATAAGTCACTTATGTACCGCCTTCCCTTACCTACTCCCTCACCTGGAAATGGTTCTCAAGGGTCCCACTCCCTGGTTTCTAGGACAGTACCTAGCACCACTACCTCCAGTAACTATTTAGCTAAGGCTATGGTGTCACAAATCTCCACGCAGGGTTTCAAATCTCCCTTCTCAATGGCTGCATCCCCAAAACTTGCCGCATCTCCCAAACCTGCCACATCCCCTAAACCTTTGCCCTCACCTAAGCCTTCTGCCTCACCCAAGCCCTCTCTGTCAGCTAAGCCTTCAGTATCAACTAAACTTATTTCTAAATCCAACCCAACTCCCAAGCCTACTGTATCCTCAAGTTCTTCCAGTCCAAGTGCACTAGTAGCCCAGAGTAGCCACTCCAGCAGTAACAACCCAGTCCATAAACAACCCAGTGGAATAAATATCAGCAGACAGTCTCCCACCTTGAATTTATTGCCCTCTAATCGCACTTCAGGCCTTCCGTCTACAAAAAATCTTCAGGCCTCATCAAAGCTACCAAACTCATCATCCACTGGAACTGTTGGGAAGAATAGCTTGAGTGGAATTGCAGTGAATGCACCTGCCAGCAGAGGTAGCAACCTTAACTCAAGCGGAGCTAATAGGACTAGTCTATCTGGGGGAACAGGAGGTGGAACACAGGGTGCTACTAAACCGTTGTCTACTCCACATAGACCATCCTCTGCCTCAGGGTCTTCAGTGGTAACAGCCAGTGTGCAGGTATGTATGTTATATACATTCATGGGGTAAAATGTATTAGTGTATAACCTTTCCTTATTATATAGGTTGTTTGTAATAGCCAAATAGCCAATAGTTTATTGCCAAGGAATGTTCCTAATGTTGACATAACAGTGATGGGGATACTTGGGGGTGAGATTTTTGTTGGAATGTGGATTTATTTATTTTTCATTCAAGTAATACATGCTCACTTTCAAAAATGTCGAAAGACATAACTAAAATGCATATTTAAAACTATCTTATTAAAGTCCAGAACAAAGTAGTAACTTAGGAATTTAACATACCTTCACTTGTCTCTCCTCTATTCTCCACTATAGTCCCCTTTCTCCTGCCAACTTTTTTATTTAATCAAATTTATACATGCATGTTATTTTTTCCTTTAACCTGTCTTTTTGAATAAAATTTTTATTTTGCAATTATTCATTTATAATTCTCTGTCAAATTAGTATCATTAGTCCTTTTATACCACAGCTTCCCCATTTGTGAGATTTTAAATTTATCTCTCAGTTAATAGGCGTTCCTCACTCAAGGAAAGTTTTCAAAAAGGCTAAAATGAAAGCTATTTTACCTTAGCTCTTACATATATGGTCATTTCTGTGCTATCACAGTTGAGTAGTTACAGATTTCTTGGGTCACTAATTGTCTCACTTCAAATTTTGTAAATACTGTTCCACTGAACCTTTGTATTTAGGATTATAGAGGTTTCTGAGGTTCTCTTATCAGTAATTTGTTTTCTCTGCCTAAATGCTAGTAAGATTTTCTCTTTTTTGTTGCAATTCAAGGGTTTACGGACTTTGGCTTGGTTTATCTTGTTTTCAGTAATTCTGTACCTAGAACATGGAAAGTCTTTTCCATTTCAAACTGGCTTTTTTTTTTTTTTTCAGCTCAAGAATATTTCATTTGATTACATGTGACAATTATTTCTGACCCATTTGGCCTAGAATTTTTGAGAACTCTATTACTCATGTATTTCATTTCTCTGCCTTCCATATCATCTTCTCTGTTATTATTTCCATCTATCTCCCACTTTGTATTCTGAGACTTTCACATTACTGACTTAGTTTCTTTAATATATCGCCCCCTCCCCCCACCGAAAAGAAAAAAATGCTCACTGTAGGCAAATTCAAAAAAGAAAATTAAAATCATCCATTATTCCATCACTGTGTATATTTTCCTGGTACTTTTTTAGACTTTTTTAAGAATGTGTGTTTTACATAATATTCTGTTTCATAATAAGCTTTTTAAAAATATAACATTTTATGATGTGTTCTTAGGTTCTTAAATATTCTTTGAAAACATGACTTTTATTGATTTATGGAATTCTGTTCTCTAACAAAATGCTCTAACTTTATACTGCATCCTGGTTATGTGGAATACGAACATTTAATGAAAGAATTACCCCTTGGTGTTCATAGAGGTTCTCTGCTATTCAGTACAAGCTAAGCATTGGTATTCAGTGTACACTTAAAACCAAAATCATCACTCTGCCATTACTGTAGTCTTAGAAATGAATTGATTCCAGAATTCTAATACAGAACAAAATTCAGTTAACTGATATTTTATTAATTAGAATCTAAGATTTATTGATATTTTATCTATGTAATTTTACTTTTAATCAGAAATATGAAAGTAACACTAAAAACAAACTGATTCGGGATTGTATGTTAAAATCTAAGTTATAACTTAAATCTGCAAGTTAGTCCACATTCCTGTTTGTATTACCTTTATTAAAATGTTGACGTTTTTGAATCTTTAATTTGATCAAAGGAATATTTAAGAGGATTATCACAGAAATGGCAGTTCCCTACCCCATATCCTCCTGCTTCCTACTTTTAACTCTCTTAGCTTTTTCTCTGGGATTTTAAATAAGAATGAATGGAAGACTCTTAATTTATTTTTTTAGTATTATCTTTGACTTCTCATTATGATAATGAGGCTCTTAGCTCCCTTATATTTTTTCCATTCTCGTGAAAGAGTAAAATGACAACTTTTGGTAAAATCCATGACTATGTAAAATATTGTCTCTATTGAGCTAAATATTGTACACGATGGTTTCATTTGCTTTTTTATTATATTTTGGGTTTTTCCTTGGAGCTAAAAAAATTTTTTTCATTTGTTTTGTTTTCCCTGAATTTAACATTAAATCTTTATCCTTTGTCATCTCCAGAATCTAGCAGTTTTATTTTTTTTCTAGAAATCCTTCTTGTAATCAATCATTTATGCTATAAAAGAACACATATACTTGGTATACAGTTACTTATCAGGTAGTTTCTCACCATGAACCTACATGACAAAATTTGTGTTTCTAAAATGTACTCCCTTCTGGTTTTCTTCCTCTCCAAAATGACTTTATGATTTGGAACCCTAGTGTTCCTGCCTTCATATCTGATCCTTTTTGTTCACTTCTTATTGGTTTTACTGAAGAAAAGGTCAATAATTGAGTAAGGTTGTTTCTAACTATTGGTGTCCTCAGGGGGTTTTTTGGTGTGTTTTTTTTTTTAATATAGCATCTCACTGAAATCTTATCAGCTATCTGTGGCCTCTAGATCCTGTCTCTCAAGTCCTCCGACACTAAAAACAGATTTCCTATCTGTGCCTGCAAAGTATTTAACTCCTGTCTGAAATACATCATCAGCTGTCTACTCATTTGCAGAGTGAAAGTGACAGGTCTTGAGTTTAACAGATTATTACCTCTACCTGCTTTTTATTGAATAATTTTCTACTCAACGTGTTCCTCTTCTTTCTTGCCCTTCTACTTACTGATTTTCTCTGAATCCTGTCTTTGCCACTTTAGAATTCTGAAAATAATTGCTTTATTAAGCAAATGCTTACTAAGTGTTTAATATGTGCCAGGCACTGTTCTAGGTGCTGGGGAAATAGGGTGAACATTATATTCAAACCCTCTCCTCTTTATGGAGCATATATTTTAGGTAGGAAAATAAACACAAATTTTAAAAATATATAAAGTGTTATGAAAAAATAAAATGGGATAATATGATAAAGTATGATTATTGCTAACATAGATAAAGGAGTTGGGGAAGGCCTCTTTGAGGGGGCAGTATTTAAGTGGAGAATTGAATGAGCAGGATTCAGCCTTTGGAAATAAGAGAGAACAAACAGTCCAGGCAAAGTGGGTGATGTGAAGAGAGGAAAGAACAGGCCTGTAGAAGACGTGTGGACCTGCATGGCAAGACTAGGAAGAGATGGGTAGGTGATGAGGTTGGAATTCAACAGTACCATGTGATGAAGAACCTTGTGGGCCATGATAAAGACTTTGGAATTTATTCTGTGTGCAGTGGGAAGCTATTGGAGGGTCTTTTACAGGGAGGACAGTGGTATGGTTTGACTAATATTTCTAAAGATCACTCTGGATGTTGTAGGGAATGAGGGGGGTGGATGCACTTAACCAAAATATAAAACGTGGTTTAAAAAAAAAAGTAATGCTAACCATGGGAAGAGAGAGCAAGGATTCTCTTCATATTTTCCCCTGGGAATGAAATGTGGAGATCATAGAAAATATTTTTGATTATGGGGCATTATCCTGAGCTGTTTGCCTACTTCAGGTTGACAACTTCTCCTGTATGCTTCTGAATGATACCACTGGTGGGATGCCCCGCTTTGAAAAGTCTTCATGTTTAGGAGAGAGAAATTTATACCCATGTAACATAGATAATCTGATATTTCATTTTAGTTTTAAAAACAAAATTAGATACAGAAATGCTGACCATACAAAAATGTTAGGCACTTATGGCATGACACCATTTTTTTATTGCTAATACTCAATTATTTAATTTTGGAAGTTGCCTTAATTTACATTTTCCATCTATGTTTATTGGGGTTTTTTGTTTATTTGTTTTTTGAGAGAGAGAGAGATATGGATAGGTTGCCTTGAGTACACCCCCCCAATCTAGGTATGTGCCCTGACCAGAAATCAGGTGTGTGGGATGACGCTCTAAGCCAGTGGTTCTCAACCTTCTGGCCCTTTAAATACAATTCCTCATGTTGTGACCCAACCATAAAATTATTTTCGTTGCTACTCCATAACTGTAATGTTGCTACTGTTATGAATCGTAATGTAAATATCTGTTATGCAGGATGGTCTTAGGCGACCCCTGTGAAAGGGTCGTTCGACCGCCAAAGGGGTCGCGCCCACAGGTTGAGAACCACTGCTCTAAGCAATTGAGCCACACTGGACAGGGCATTTTCCATAGATTTTAATGCTTCAATTAGCCTCCTCCAGAAAAAGTTTTCTTTATTAGCTGTTTCTCACTAGGGGGCTCTGTTTATGGTGTACTGCCTTGAAGTATGTGCCTCATGTTACCCTGAGACTACAATAGAATTATGACTAAAAAGAAGAAAGAACTCTTGTTTATTCTCAAATTGATACAGGATCCTTTCTATGTAAATTGCTTCACTTATTATTATTTTTAACTTAGTAATTCTTTCCTTAATGTGCCCATTGTGTCTATCACGATTGGCACAATAGAGAAGAAGACTGGAAAATAAGAAAGATAGTTAATGCCAAGCAGAAAGTGATAAAGACTTATATGTAAGTGTTGGAGGAAGTTGTGGAAAAAAAGAAAGAATGTATGTTGCCCACGAGCTCACCTTGTCCTTTACTTTTTAATGCCTGAAAACTAAGGTGTCAAACCTAAGTGGCAGGTAAGAACCAGACTATTGCTGATAGCAGTTAACATAGCAGGTGATGATGAGTTTAGTTGTGGACATGCCAAGTAGGTGAGTGTTAGATATCCAAGTTAGATTCTTCATTGAACTTCTGGATATACAGGATTGAAATTGATATGAGAGGTCAGGAGTGTGAATATAAATTTGAGAGATTAAAATTAAAGGAGATAATGGGAGGGAAGGCTATTGGAGAAAGTGGAAAAAACAGACTGGGAAGCTTCTTGAGGTTGTTCTGCAATTCATGTGCAGCAGTAGCATGGACCACTAAGTATATACTAGTACTATGTAATGTGGCATAGATGGATGGGAAGATCACCTATATTTTCTCATATATTAACTAAGCAAAATGATTCAGCCTTTATTAATGAATAATGTTTACTGGTTGAATAATAAACACATAAAATCAGCCTGACAGTGGCTAACATGTAAAATATTTAGTCAGGGAAATTTAGAATTAGTAAAATAAGGCTACAAAAGAAAACTTAACAGTTGCAGAAACTATAATAGATAATATCTAATACTGAGAAAAGCTTATAATCTTTGTTGATAAATTCACATAGAAAAGAAATGTCAAAATGGGAAAAAATTACTTAATTGCTGTATAGAAAATTGTTCAAAGAATTAAATTAGCTTAATGAAGTATATTTAAGTAATTTCTCAATGAAAGTTCAATGTTAGCATATTTTTCATTTCACTGTTTTTATTCATAAGCAGCATTAAAACACAGGTAGTGCCCTGGCTGGTGTTGCTCAGTGGTTGAATGTCAACCTATGATCCAGGAGATCACAGTTCAATTCCTAGTCGGGGCACATTCCCCGGTTGCAGGCTTGATCTCCAATAGGGGATGTGGAGGAGGCAGCTAATCAATGATTTTCTCTCATCATTGATGTTTCTGTCTCTCCCTCTCCCTTCCTTTCTGAAATCAATAAAAATATATTAAAAGAACAAACAAACAGGGGAGTGTCAAAACACCCTCTAATTTGCCTTTACCTTAGGGAGTCAGTTCAGAAAAGTAGTAGAGATGGAAACCAACTTACAGGGGTGAAGGAGAGACTAGATAATGTGGAAAGTGGAGGCTTTCATTCACTAAGTTTGAAGATAAAAGGCATACAAATAAGTCAAGTAGTTTCCAAAGCTGAGGAAGAGCCAGGAATAAGTGGTTGTAAAAAGAGATGAGTCCTGGCCGGTTTGGCTCAGTGGATGGAGCATCGGCCTTTGGACTGAAGGGTCCCAGGTTCGATTCCAGTCAAAGGCACGTATCTCAGTTGCAGGCTCAATCCCCAGTAGGGGCCGTGCAGGAGGCAACTGATTGATGATGTTCCTCTCTCATCAATGTTTCTATCTCTATCCCTCTCCCTTCTTCCTCTCTAAAAATCAATAAAAAGATATTTTTTAAAAAAGAGATAAGATTGGGAGGATAAGGACACATTTTTAATATCTTAATCAATAAAGGGGAAAAAAAAGAATTCTCTGTATATGAGAAGGCAGAGGAAACATGGAAAAAGTACGAATACTAGATTATTTGTACCCGGAAGTTCTACATTGATGGGATTCATGGCATAGGCCAGTTCATAGGTCATAGCTTTTGGAGAAGAGGTGGGTGAATCTGATGAGGAAGAACATACCAGGTGGCCTCATCTCTGTAAGGTGTTAGGATGAAAGTAAAGGACACAGATTTAGGGGCTCTGAGAGAGCAATAATAATCTGTAGTAGCAACTGCAGAGACTGTGCCAGGCAACAGTATAGACAAACAGCAGAGAGACTGAGCATGTTCAGAGACCACATTGAAATTGGTTCAGATCTAGGGTAATCTAAGGTTAGAAGTGAATGGAGCCCTAACCAATTTGGCTCAGTGGATAGGGCGTTAGCCTGCGGACTGAAAGGTGCCAGGTTCGGTTCTGGTCGGGGGCATGTACCTTGGTTTCAGGCACATCCCCAGCAGGAGGCAGCTGATCGATGTTTCTCTCTCATTGATGTTTCTAACACTATCCCTCTCCCTTCCTCTCTATAAAAAATTAATAAAATATATATTTTTTTAAAAAGAAGTGAATTGCCCTAACTGATTTGGCTCAATGGATAGAGCGTCGGCCTGTGGACTGAAGGGTCCCAGGTTTGATTCGGGTCAAGGGCATGTACCTTGGTTGCGGGCACATCCCCCGTGGGGGATGTGCAGGAGGCAGCTAATAGATGTTTCTCTCTCATCGATGTTTCTAACTCTCTATCCCTCTCCCTTCCTCTCTGTAAAAAAAATCAATAAAATATATATATTTTTAAAAAACAAAAAAAAGGAAGTGAATGGATTGAGGGGGTGAATTGGTGTTAATATAGGCAATAAAATAACTTAAGGAAGAGTCTAAATGTGATGAAGAGCTGAGTATAGAATTATTAAGTAGCACTTTGAATTGTATTGTTCACCTCCATCTTCATTTCTATATCAAGGTTTCTGTTAGAGCAAATATAAAACATAGTCTTTTGCCCATGAGGATATTAAATAAATCAATTCAGGTTAAAGATTTGATTTCTTATGTATTTTGACCCCTGGTTTCTGCAGTCCACAGCAGGAGCATCATTATTGGCTAATGCCTCACCTCTGACTCTCATGACATCACCTTTGTCTGTAACAAATCAAAATGTGACTCCTTTTGGGATGCTGGGTGGCCTTGTTCCAGTGACCATGCCCTTCCAGTTTCCCTTGGAGCTACTTGGCTTTGGAACGGACACAGCTGGCGTGACAACCACCTCGGGATCTACCTCAGCCGCTCTCCACCATAGCTTAACTCAGAGTAAGTGGGGCCTTTGTTTACTTGGCTACCTAGTTTGACAGAACAGGAAACAAAATTATACTCATTATACCAGTTGGACTTGTATAGATTATAGAATTTTTTAAAAAAGAGATGCAATGTATTTTATCTATTTATAATCAAATTATTGGACTCTGAGATTTTATTTATAATTTTAAATGAACCACTATACCACATTTCTAAAAAATATTTATAATAAGAGGAAGTCAGATTTGCTGAGTGTTTGCATTCACAGGTACATTTATGTATGTAAATTTTTTAACATGTATATACTCAAAGAAGGCCTTTGAAGTCAGGGCTGTGCTTGCATTAGATAAATTAAACTATTTTCATTTTTGCTCTCAGAGGGCTCAACCAGATTTAAGAAGATCACTGACAAGTCTGTTTTCCTCTCAGATTTACTAAAGGGTTTACAGCCAGGAGCTCAGCATGCAGCAACACTTTCCCACTCACCTCTGCCTACACATTTACAGCAAACATTTAATGGTAAGAAAGCCACCTCTTTCTTCATCTCTTTGTTGTTTATATAGCTATATAGATTGGACTGAACATTTTTTCTGAAAACGTGAATGAAATGACAAAGGTTGAAAAAAACAGACTTTCATGTGACTGAATCCTCATTAGCAACAAACTCCTTTTAAGAGAAAGGAAATAAGTAAAATGAAATCTCTTGTTACATGTGAAGAGAGTGGTTTTGAAAGTGTTATATAGAAGTGATGACAAAGAAGAGGGTTCATAAGGCAATGTGCAAAAGTCATATCCAGTAATTGTAATAGTTTATACTGACGGGAAGTTTACCAAGTGCCAGATAATCTTGTGACCACTTACTATATTAGCTAATTTAATCTTTACAACAAGCCTGTGAATGAGAGAACAATCTCCCTTTTGTAGACCAGGAAACTGAATCAGAGATAAGCAGCTTTCCCAAGATGATACACTAAGGTGTTCGATCTGAGATACAGATCCAGGAAGTCTGACTCCACAGACAGCTCTTAACCATTAAACTTTGCAGTCCTTAAATTAATATCATCTCAACTCTATACATTATATCCTTGCAGCATAGCTGTATCTTTCTGAAATTAGGTAGTAGATACTGGACATACACATCAGCTTCCAGCAGTTGACCTCAGTAGACTGCTGATAGTGTTCGGAAGGCCATTTTGAGGATCTTTTGAGCAGAAATAATTGCTCATCTGCCCTCTTAACTTTGAAGTTGACTGGGGCCTCACTATTCTTTTTGGCCACTGCATTTCATATTATCTTTGAACAGGTTTACAGTTGGTCAACAAATAGAATGAAAGCTATGTAGCAATCTCAAAGCAACAAGTTGTAATGAATCCTGTAACAGACCTTACATGGTAAGAGTAAATATAAAATCACTGTTGTACAAATGGGGGACACAAAATAGACACAGATTCAGCAATCCTAATCTTCCTGAACTAGGTTTTAATGCTTAGGGAAAATTGCCCTGTGACTAAAGCAGTTGCTGGTATAATGAGTTCAGTTTAGAGCTGTTTTTTCATGGATGGACTGGTATGGACTTGTAAGGAATGAGACAAACAGGAACCTCATGGTTCAACATGACGCCAGTAATCCAGCTTTTATATGAATTTTCTTCTTGTCTGAGCAGCACCACTCTTCCAGAGGGAGAAAGGAAAGTTTACAATTTTTTTTTTTATTTTAAAGACGTTTAAAAGTATAAGACACCGAATTTGAGAATTAGGCTTTGATTTTTTAATCCCAAGACTGCCACTCAGAGCAAGTTTCTTAACTCGTTTGACCATCACAATCTCTTGCTTGTAAACGGGGGACAAGAAGATGTTTTTAATAGGCTTGTTATGAGAATTTAATGAAAATAATTTAAGGCTTCTAGCATAGTGCCTTATACATAGTAAGAGTTCAGTTTATTAATGTCAATTCTCTTACTTTATCTAAAGACAGAGATCAGTAAACTTTTTTCTCTAAAGACCCAAATAGTAAATATTTAGGCTTTGCAGGCCATTTAGTCTCTATCACAACTACTCAACTCTGTAGTGTAGTGAAAATAGCCATAGAGAATATCTAATATGAGTATGGCTGAGTTCCAATACAACTTTTTACTTATAAAAAGAAGTGTAAAAAAACAAACAAACAAAAAAGAGGTGGTGGTCAGATTTGGCCCTTGGGGAAGGTCTTGCTTTAAAGACTCTCAGAGTCCATTTAATATGAGCATTTTATTTTGCTAATTAACCAAAGCTTCTTTGAGCAAAATTCCATCTTGCCATTTTATAAATTTAATTATGCCTAAAGTTAAATCATTTTTCTCTACAAATGTAAGTATGTAATATCTCATTATCAATGAAAAAGCCAGTTCCTTAGATGTTGTCGCCAAACTTATTTTACTGGTATTCTGTTTATACAGCTTTTGAAATGATCATCATATTTTGTTGATACATCTTTTCTTTAGTAGAGGAATTTTTTCGGTTTGTGTTTTACCAGAGTAATTTAGATATTACATGAGTGGACCTAGCAGTATGACTTCTGTGCTCTCCTCCAGCCTTAAGTTTGTTATTGTAGTACAATATTTTGTTCTTTTCACCTGTGTAGTATTTCTACCATGCCTCCCTGTCTTTTTCTGTTAATCCTATTGGGTGGGGGTGGGAGGTGTCTTATTCCTTGTTAAGGCAATGACCTGTTAGAGATTCCCTCTATATTTTTTTGGCTTTCAAAGTCACTGGGTCCAACTCTTACCCAGTTTAAATAGAGAAAACAGCATTTTTCTAGTAAAAGTTAAATAGTAACACGTAGAACTAGAAACCCTTATTCCTAGTAGCAGACTTTCCTATCAGTTAAACTTTCATAGGTTAGGGCCAAAAAAAGACTCAGCTGGATTTTTCGCTACCAATGTGCCCCATCGTTTACATAAATAATTGTGAATTATCAAATGCTATGTCATGGCAAGAAATTTAATTTTACTTGCAAAAGAATGAAATTGACCTTGTCTTCTAAATGAATCTATGTGGTATATCCCTTGAAGGTGGGGATGGTGTTTTTATGATCCTTTATAATCCTCACAGCATTTAGCATATTGTCTGTGAGGTAGATACCTATTTATATATATACAAAGCCAGCAACTGGAACGACTGGTCACTATAATGCCCACTGTGGCCAGTGAACCGGCCCAATCAGGGGGTGGGGCCGGTCAGCCAAACTGCCTCGGCCCCTCCCCCCCGTTGGCCCTGCCCCTGAACACACCCCCAACCCCAATAGG